TTAATTTTGGTCCATAAATTCAAATAATGGGCAATTTTAGTCCCACAAACAATTTACCTTCCAAAATTTAACATACGTTAATGATATGGATTTTATGCTAAATAAATATTAATTATATATTATTTAATTTCTTGCGTGTCAAATTATTTAATATTCAAAATTTAAAAATTTTAAATTCATTTATTTTATATTTCTATTTCTTATACGTGTTAATGTTGCAACTAGAACGACCCGTTCTCCAAGCAGAACGGGTCGTTCTACTTGCACGCGTAGTCCGTTAATTTTGAAACTGGAACGTCCAAGCAAAATGACCCGTTTTGATCCATCATCATGTGTGTATTTTTACATTCGGAACGATCCGTTCTAAAAGGAGAACGAGTCGTTCTGCAATTGCTGCAAGGAGAACGGGTCGTTCTTAAAGGAGAACGAGCCATTTTGCATCTAGTTTTACACTATGCTCAGATCCAAAACGCAAAAAAAAAAAAAATAACAGCTCATTAAAAAAATTATATTTTAGTGAAAAATTCTCATTGCGATTGATATCAATACCCTTTTCATTTTGTTTTCAATGTTATTTAAATTTAAAATTTGAATATTAAATAATTTGACACGTAAGAAATTCAATGATATATAATTAATTTTTATTTAGCATAAAATTCACATTATTAATGACTGTTAAATTTTGGATGGTAAATTGTTTGTAGGACTAAAATTGCTCATTATTTAAATTTATGGACCAAAATTAAGCAATTTAAATTATGAGGACCAAAATTACTCCTGTACTAAATTATGAGGACCAAAAGTGCAATTAAGCCTTTAGTTTTTATTGTTAAAAAGTTCAATTTAGTCCTTTAATTTTCAAAATATATTCAATGTTGCATTTTTTGTCATTGCCACTCGTGAAGTTAATGAAATTAGATGAAATGAAAATATTCAATATATTTTAAAATTAGATAATCAAATTGATCATTTTAAAAATAGTGAGAACAAATTAAATATTTTAAAAATAATAACATTAAATTGAATAAAATTTTATCTAACATTCTTTGTCAAGATAAATTTGAATTTTATTTTACTTATCTTAACAACATCATGAATAACAACAAATTGAGTACTTATAAAATTAATATATATATATATATATATATATATATATATATATATATATATATATGACAAAAAGAATGAGTTATCTAATAAAATAATTTATTGAATAGATAAAAGAAAATTTAAATTTATCTAAACTAAAAAATGTTAGATAAAATTTTATTCAATTTAATCCTTCTATTTATGAAATGTTCAATTTAGTTTCATTATTTTAAATAATTTAATTTAGTTCTCTAATTTTTAAAAGATATTTAATATTATCATTTTATCTGATTTCATTAATGTTGTTAGTGTCAATTTAGATAAAATGATAACATTGGACAATTTTAAAAAAATTAGAGGATCAAATTGAACCATTTAAAAAATAGTGAAACCAAATTGAATATTAAAAATAAATGGAGGGATTAAGAGTATAATTTAGTCTAAAATTAATTATGAACCACTTGAATCAAATTAGTACCATATTATATATATGTGTAATATAACAATATTTTTTCACCTAGGATATCTTTTAATTAAAAGTTAGTACAAAAAAATTGATATGTAATGACATAATATTTGTCACTAAAAAATATTTTTAGCTATATTGTAAATATTATGTTAATATATTGTTTGAAACTGTAGATGTAAACTATAATAATACATAATATATGTTGTTAAATCTTATTTAAGATTAACACTCAAATTGTGTATAGTTATATATCAAATATGTTTATATCTACATATATTATATCACACTTTTTTGTATGTCCCATATATATGTAATATTTTTTGTAGTATAATTTCTTATTAAATAACAAAAAATCATCATTTAAGAGAGTTACATCTTTGAACAAATGTTTTTCTTTACAAATAATACTTTAATTAATTGTTGTATTTGGATACTTTTTTTTTTGTTAGATTATTTTCCTTATGTTTTTCTTCAAGATATTATAAAATTTTGAGGTTGGTTTGTGTATCGTTAATATTTTATTTTACTACGAATATAAGCATTTATAGTTAAACAAAATTATATATGGCAAGAATTGATATAAAAGGTGACTTGTTTACTTTAGTCAATAAAGCTTATAATGACAAAGCATTATTCAATTAAAATTAGAATGTGAATTATTGCACTTTTTATAATCATAAAATATGGGTTTTTGACGAGTCACTTTCGATAAAAGTCATGAAACATTGAATCAAATCAATCTACCTAACGTTTAAATTAAAATATTTCATAATATAAATTAACTTAATTAGATATGCTTTTGAATTTAAAAATTTAATAATTCGACTAAATTATTTCATATGATCAAATGGTCGATATTCAATTTTCGTCTGAATGAGAAGACGAAATAGGGGAAGAAGAAATTCTAAAATGTAAAATAAATATTTTTTGGAGTTTTCTATCTTTTATGCATTTGTAATTTTAAAAAAATTAAAGTAAATTTTTTTTTTTCATTCAAGCATGATATTTAATACAAAAATTACTTTTAAATTAAATGGTTTATCATTTAATTAAAAATGAAAGGAAAGTAAAGAAAAAATAAATCATCAAATACTTTTTCTCAAGATATAATTTATTAATATTATATTTCCACGAATACTATTGAGAATATAAGATACTCATTGTTCACCTATTGAACAAAAAGTTAAGAATCAATAATATTTGAAAATATTCTTTTAAAAATTTATATCCCATTTACTTTATAGGTATTAACGCGTGTTATACTTGAAGCAAACACATTCTGAAAAAATTACTCGTGTTTCAAGTTTTTCCTCAGACAAAATATTAAGCTAAAATTGCTTCTCCTGCTATGCAAGTGTGCAACAGCTAGCTTTTCAACTCAATGATGAACACATTTAGGGTTGTATGTGGGTACTTACTTAAATATATAGATTCAATGAGTTTAAGATCAATTTATTTTTAGTGTTTAGGTTATACTTAATACAATTCGATCAAAACTTGGTAGTATACAAGTTGAATAATAAATTTTGTATTTTTATATTCGTGACTCATTTTGACTCTGTCACATAATAATAATAATAATAATAATAATAATAATAATAATAATAATAATAATAATAATAATAAGTTAATGTGAATACTTATTTAAATAATACTCTTTGTCAGTCTTGTTCACTAATAGGTATTATGCTTTTAGGTTAATAGTATTGTAACAATACAACATATTTACTTTAAATTTTATTTTGTATTAATGTTAGTTGTTTAAGTTGATAATAATGTAACAAATTAACAATTTTATTTTGAAATTTAGTTTGTATTATTATTTGTTTTATTGGTTGAAATAATATTGCATTTGCAACAAGATATCAAATGATTTACATCTAATATGAAATATTTAAATTTTTATAAAATAAATAAATAAATTTAATTATGTTAACCCAATTGATTTAATTAAATCCGATCCGTTTGTGATTAGGTTGAATTAAGTTGAATTTCAAAAAAAAAATTCACAAATGCGATTCAATCCAACTTGTTAAATTTTAATTAAGTCAGATAATGAATTAATTCAAATTCAACTTAATTCAATATTGTGTTTTTTTGTTAATAATATTTTAATAATATAACATATTTAATTTATTTTAAAATTGAATTTTTATTATTATTTACTTTGTCAATTAATAACATTATATTTACAATTACATATTAAATAATTTACATTTATTTTAAAAATATTTTAAATTTTATAAATAAATAAATTTAATTATGTGAATTTAATTGATAAATCTAATCAAATTCATTCATGTTAAACTTAAAAAAAAAAAAAAACTCGACTGAATCCATTTAATTGTGATTAGGTTGGATATGGGATGTATCCAAATTGGATGAAATCCGACCCTAAACACATGATTGCACGCAACCCCATTCCGGTAGAAAACAAAACAGCGGCGAACTTAGGAACGTTAACGCCGTTCCAGTCCTTCATTATTGGATCCACGTGTCGCAAATGCTGACGCAATTAATATTAGTAAACCAATTATTAATGGTAACAACAAGGCCCTCATAACACCACGGCTTGTGATTTCAAACAAAAGCAAAACATGGGCCCCACAAAATGCGGTGTCACCCTCGTACCATCAACACGTGCCCCTTTCTCTTTAAGTCAAAGCTCCAATTACCCATAATCCCCATGCAAATCATATTATTACTTTATCCCTAACAGGTGTCCCTCACACGTGTCCACCGCACGTGCTTCCCGCGTGCCGTCGCCGATCACCTCGCCACTCGCCAGTATCTTGTACTCGCTGTCGGGATATCTCAAACCTAATTTTAATTTGCCTTCCTCATCATTGTTAATGTTTCCCCAACACTCCTTTCCCTTCACTTCAATTTCTTATTTTTCTTTTTCTTTTCTATTTTGGGGCAACAATTTCTAATTGGAGAAAGCCCCTCAAAATATATAAACACTCCGCATACCATTGCAAGGAAAAATTAATATATAAAACGTTAGTAGTCAGTAGGCAAGTGAGTTGCTCTACTATCTAGCTAGAGAATATTGAATATTATGTTGCTTGTTGCGCATCCTGTGGCTGACAACAATACATTTTAAGAATTTAAATATTAATACCATGGCTAGCTTTTCCCATTTTTCTATGTCTTTGCCGTGGAATAAAACCAAAGATATGCACAATATTAATTTTGGGTTTTCTAGTTATTTTATACTATATGCTAGCTGAGTTGTCGATCGATTTCTATTTCGGTAAAACACAAGTCATGCCTTGGCCCTTGGAGTGATATACTCGTCTTTAATTTAGCGCTTTTTCTTAAAATAACATCAAATCTATGGAGACATGCATACCACATCAATAATAGAAAGTAGAAAAACTTTATAAAAAAATAGATAAGGACGTCGGTATACTTGCTAAAAAAGTCAAAGCTAGCTGAATTAAGAAATGTAAACTATCAATCAATAATAAAATTTAGGAAATGCTAGGTATCAACACCGTGGATCCATAACCAACCAATCAACGTTTTGGTTGATTCAATTGTTGATGATCTATCTGATCTTATCACCTTACATGAACTCATTGACATCTAAAATATCTGGGATTTCAAATTTCAACATGTAGCTACTGTCATAGCTTTGATCTCTCTCATCTTCTGTGCTGCTCCCGTTGATTATCGTGGAGTTCGAGTTCAACGGTGTGGAACTTGACGAAGGTGTGGATAGAACTGAAGCGAAGTTGAAGTTCTGATTGCTGTTACTGGAATAAAAGGTTGAAGGTTCGGACAATGGAGGATACGTGAGACTTTGACCATCAGAACTATAATAATTACAGCTTGATAATTGAGGGACATAGTCATCTGTTAAGGTGTTTAAAGCAACCCCACTTTTGTGCCAATCATCACTTATTAGCTCATCATGAGAATGTTGTTGGTAAGTGAAGTCTGTGAAACTTGATGATGGATATGGGTCCACATTATTAGGCTCAACCAACTGTGGTTGAGTTATAGGCAGTGAAACACAAGTGGTAGTGTTGAACATGGTGCATGCAGGAACTTCTTGAACAGGGTCTTGAAATTGGACAAACTCTGGAATTTGGGGATGGCAAAGCTGGTTCTGTTGATCACTTTTGTGAGCACACGTGTTTGAGTCTTTGTGTTGCTGTGAGGAGATGATTGAAGAAGCCAACCTCAAAAGCTCAGGGTTGACCAAGGAGTGCTGCATGCCAAGGAACATTTGTGATGAACCATAGAAAGATGCGTTTAGAATGGAAGAGATGTCCAATAGATCAAGTCGAGGACTGTGTGTAACAGGGTCAATTCCCATCCTCAGAAGCCTTTTTCTAATGTGAGTGTTCCAATAGTTCTTTATTTCATTGTCTGTTCTTCCTGGTAAGCGAGATGCAATCGCAGACCACCTAAACAATTAATTAATCCAATAACACATACCTATCTATTAGCATAATAATCATGGTAATATAATTTCATTATTTAATAACTTGACTAAAAACTATTGAGGATAAAAAAACATTATAACTCACTTGTTGCCAAGAATGCTATGTAGCTGAATTATTGTCTCTTCCTCTTCAAATGAAAACCGACCTCGTTTTATATCTGGTCGAAGATAGTTAGTCCAACGGAGACGGCAACTCTTTCCACATCTTTGCAACCCTAATCAATACAATGAAGAATGAACCAAAGGCATTAGTTGAAAATTTTATATAATTAACAAGAACAGACCCATGCATTTTTTTTATACGTAATCTATTTAATTTGTTTTGGTGACATACCAGCATTCTTTGGGAGTGTCCTCCAATTGCCATATCCATGTTTTTGAATGTAATCAACAAGTTTCTGGTCCTCTTCGGTTGTCCATGGCCCTTTCTTGAGACCATTTTTGTCACAACAAGGTGCTCTCCCCATAGCTATAGCCTATAGGTAGTTTCTGTTTGATGAGCTAATTTTATAAGCTATGAGCTTTGGGTGAAGGTGACGAGAAAGAGGAGAAAAAATATGAGACGTGAGAGAATAGATAAGGAAAGAGAGGGAGAGTAAAGAAGAAAAATGGAGTTAATGATAGTAGGGTCCGTAGTACTTGGTTATGGTATAAATAGGAAGAAAGTGAAGGTTAAGAAACAAGTGAAGTCAAATTGATTCGGTGCCGTCCTCCTGTTATCTCTCTCGGCATTGGCTACGTGTCTCGTCTAATCTATGAATTTTTTCCTCTCTATATCACCATGCATATCTCTCTTGTTAAACCATATTCTTAATTAATGTTATTGTAGAAAAAATTTCAATTGCATCATTGTGGTCACTGTATTCTACGTATGTTTGATGTCGAAATTTGAGTTTATATCATTATGAAAATAATCAATTACAAACAGTTTAGCTTTAAATTGGATAGTGTCTAACTCGCGAAATATAAATATGAAAGACAGTAATTAATTGTAGCGTATTTAATATATATTTTTGTGTTTGTGAATGTAAAATTATTTGATATATTAAGTATTAAATTGATTAAAAAAAAAAAAAGAGAGAGCATTAAGATTATCATGGAGTGTAGTGTGAAGGTAGGCATCATTTTCCGGGAGTGTGACCTCCCTTACTTTCTGGATTCATATTAGCTGTCATCAAAATGACACGCCACGTACCCCTCTCATCTTAATTTCTTTTTCTATTACAGGTACTACACGGCGTTCATTTTCTTCCTTTTATGCATGGACGTGGCTTTTCTTCCTTTATGCTAAAGCAAGCCTTTTATGTTCCATCTGTTGTGCTCATAATAATGTTTTAGATTAGTGTTTTATGCTGCAAACCAACCTGTACCTTGCGAGACCTACACGAATGTTAATTATTAGGAAATAGGGGTAAAGTTATGCCTGTTTCTTTTTAATTTAATTATTCTGCATGTAGAAAAATACAATTAATCTGGTTTAATTTCTATAAACATGATTATTTTTGTTATTAATATAATTCTGTATGTAGAAAAATATTAAAGTATAGTATTTATGGATTTTATATTTCACTCATTTTCATTTTGATCATACCCTTATACACTGAACAATTTATAACAATTTAAAATAATTATATGTTAACTGAATCAAAACTTTTAATTAATATAAGAAAAACACTATCTCAAATAATAATTTTTTTTTTCCAATAAACTAAGCATGTTTGCCTCAGTAGTCCAAAAGACATTTGAGCAAATGTAAGTACTGTTTTAGTCACCATCTTAAATGTGTGTACACAATAAATGCAAAGAAGATTGAAGATGGGCATTTAATATACACCGTGGCTATAATAGAGTTCGGTGTTTGCCGAAATATAAAATATATCATGAACATTTATTATGCATGATATGCGAGAAGATCTACTGAGTATTTATTTAAATTATTATGAAAAAGTGGGTTTACATGATTTTCTTACATTTCTATTATATATGTTACAATCAGCCTTTGCAATCCATTCCACTGTCATTTTTTAGTAGTCGTTCTGATGTTCAAATCTAGGATTTTATATATATTTAATATATCATAAAACTTTTAATTTTATAATAACTACTTAAAAAATAACATTTAAGATAGTTTTTAATTGGTGAATAATATAAAAAAGTATACTATTTAGTAAATGAAAATAAAACTCTTTTATGAAACTCCAAAAAACAAAAAAAAATCAGCCGCAAAATATTATTAATTTGCTGATTTTTCTCTTTAACTTGTGTTGCGATCGAAGACGTGAAAGTGAACTTTGAAAACTTTATTGACTTCTCCCCACAGGTAGTGCGAGTGCTAGCTTCAAATTCAAACTCCTTATTTCATCAATTGATTTCAGTTTTTCAGCTATTTAAGTCACATGCGATGCTTACTTTTCTTGAAAAGGGAAGCCATCTTTGACGGTATATATGGTACAATACTCATCCCAACATGATTCTAATTATAGATCAAGTAATGATTATGTTTTAAGATATAAAACTTAATAAAAGCCTCATCCTTCGTAAAAACATTTTTAATTATTCGTTAATATTTTAAGGAATTATATAATTATTATTTTAAAATGGGTCTTAATGTAACTGTAGGCAAGAAAACTTCTCTGATTAGAGTTAGGCAGCTATAGAACAAATTACAAGTCAAATATATATACTTATGATTCCCGGCCATATTATTGATATAAATGAGATTTACAGAAAATGAAAGCGATAGAGACACCGTGTGAGTCCATAATTTCCGACATGGAAAAGTTAGCAAAAGCTCAAGGAAATGCGTCTCACTGGGACACAAATCTTTATCTCGTTACCTTTTCATATATTATTTTAATTTTTTGGTTCATTTCTAAAGATACTTTTACTTATTTTATAAGATATTTTTAATTCATTTTCGTTTTGAAGAAATGAATTAACGTATCATATTTGAATATTATACTCTTGTATTTTGTGAGAGTTGAGTACTTGAGTCTTACTTCTTTTATTTTTGTTAACTAAAACAATTATAAACGGTCACCGCCGTGAACATGTTGCTATACGAGTTCATATATATACTATTTTCCCCTTTGTACAGGCAAAAGGAATTTAATAATAAAATACAAGGGGTATTCTATTTCTATCTCGTATGTGTTTGTAAAAATAAAGAAAGTGCTTAAATAAAAAAAAATGACAAGAAATATTTTGATATTTTTACGAACATGTACAATGCAAAAATTATTTTTAATACGATAATAAAATATGTTAGAGTTTAATCTCATTAAATCATCTTTTTATGCTTATAAACACATTTTAATTCAGTTATAATTTCATAAATTATTATTTATCTTACAAATATTCCCAAATTTTAGTTCGTTACAAGTTAGAGTCTAAATATTTTGAATAAATTAATTTTTTGCTTAACTTAACCAAGAACTCAGTGGTACGAACAATAATTTATGAATGACTAATAATATTTACTTTATTTCTAGAGGTAAGCATCATTAGTTGCTCTACTTCAATTTAAAGGTTCATATGAATTTTTTAATCACTTTAAACCCATAAAATCAAGTTAAAGGGATCAAACTATAACAAGTATTAAGTAAAGAAAAGAGCAATAATACTCAATAACTTAGAATGTAAACATGAAAATATGTATGGTTACATCAAACTTCAATAAAAGTGAACTTAACTACATATAGACATGGAGTACAAGAAAAATGAAGAAAGGAAGACATTTAATCTTGAAGCCATGAAAATTCTTCCGGCTACCACACACATTTCAATAAATGTTCTTTAATGACGTGTCTTCAAATTTGTCCCTTTTTAAGTCGTAAACCTTTTTTTGTCTCTTTTCATTAATGACATGTCAACACTTATAGTGTTGGATGTGAAATTCTACGCTAAACATGAATTAAACAATAAATAATAAAACTTGACCTCTGAAATTGTGGTATTGACAATTGGTGTGAAATTTAACACTCAACGTGATAAATTAAATCACTCTCTGAAAGGTTACTCTTGAGTGTGAAATTTTTATGTTGAGCATCAAAATTTAACAATTTTTTTTTATCTTGATGTTTTGCTTTCTATTTGTTTCTTTCAATGTTTCTCATCATTTTTCATTTTATCTACAAATTAACATAATAAAAAACTTGAAAATTTCCTATAAATTTAAGTTATAAACTAAAGTTAACATTATACAAATTAAAATTAATTTAAATCAAATAAAAAACAAATAAAAAAAAGCGGATAAATATTTCAAAATATATCATAATTAAAACAAATATAAAACTTATCAATATGATAAGGAGTTGTGGCGCTAAAATCATATAGAAATACTAGCAACTAATTGATTGTTAATTAATAGAGTTCATATAGTACTTTTTAAAATGAATGTTACTTTATATCAACTTTATCTATCTTATAGTAATTCCAATGGGAATTGTTTGTCCCGTTTTTTTCAAGGGACAGTTTCTTCCCATTGGAGCACTCTTACGTGGCAATATGAGTTGCTTGAAAAAGAGGGACATTTATTTCTGCAAGCAACTGTTGCTTACCAGATTTTGGTGGGGGAAGAGATCAATGAGGCGGGGTGAGATGGGGCTTTGACAATGGCAGGGTTGATGGTGGAGGCGCGAGGTTTGACACCGAGGGTGGAGCCGTATGCGACGACTTTATTAAAGGCGTTGAGAGCCTTGTCGACGTTGCGACAGACGTTGCAACGACCTTGCTTGAAGCGCTTCCCCCACTAGAGCAACACCATGGCCTCCTACAGCAGCCACAACGCTTCCCACCGGGCACGACACATGAGCGATGCCGCGCAGAGGTTGGGATCGTCGAAGGAGGCGACAATGTTAGCCAACACGTCATACAGAAGTGCCAAGAAATGGGCAGCGGGGCTAGGCTGGGCTGGCGAGGCAGGGGTTGGCTGACGTGGGCACGACGGAGAGAGGATGACGCAATGGAGGACGACAAGAAGATGGAGGAGAAAGGAAGAAAGCAACGGGGAGATGGAGAGTGAGGGGAGAAAAATGAAAAATGAGAGAGGAAGAGAGTGATGGTTGAGAAAGAAAAAAAAGAGTCGTTAGTTCATAAATGATTAGAAAGAAAAGTTATAAAAATTGAATTTCTTAAAGTTTCTTACCATTGAAGTAAATTTGTGTTTGAGTTGTTTAATGCTAACGTAACATACTGAAGACCACTTTTTACGCTTTTCAATGCATGAAATGATTCAAATTTGGAGATGCCCTTACGATCTCACTTCTCTTTTATGAGCTTCAAGTAAGAGTACTTTCCAATGCCCAAGCTTGTGACTTTCATGTTTAATGAAGTGAATCTCCATAACAAGAGGTAGCAACCATTCGCGAGCATTTAGAACTTAGAAATGCACTAAGATGAAACATAAAACAAAACTCTATAATTGAAAAGAATAAAGCTTAACAGATTTAGCGAGAGTTAAAATATTTGTATGTAAGTAAATATTAATGCCTGTTTGTTTGAATAAATTGAGTTTGAGTCCCTAAGAAAGTTCTTTAATCACCTGTTAAGGGAAAACTGAAAGTAATCTTATTGTATTTTTTTTATATGAAACTTTGATTTAGTTTTGGTGGTTTTTACCATGTATAAATAACATCTATTTCATAAAATATTTTCAAACATGACAACCGCTCAACATTATACCATTATGGAAAGTTCTGATTTGCTCGCTCTGTCATTGCTTCATCTGGTCTTGGATAGTTGGATATAAGAAAAAATATATATGTACTTTAATTTTAAATATAAATAAACTTAAATTAATTTTATCCCATTTAATGATTAATGATATTATCTCTAAAATATTTTTAATTTAATTCATGTTTTAATTTCAAATTCAATGACTCATTTTTTTTCTTGAAGGGTAGTTTAGAAAAGAAATATATTTTTAAAAAATAAGTCTTGCTAACCAGCATCTTATAGGTGCTAATTAACTTAATTAAGGAATCAGCATATAAAATGTTTTTTTATTATTAAAAACTATATTAAAATTGCATGGAAGATAATGTTGTTAAACTTTTCAACAAAAAGTTTATACTTTTAAAATTTCAACAAAATATTTATACTATTCTAATCAGTATTTTCATTTTTTAAATAAAATCAATACAATTAAATGATCTCAATTACCTTTGGAGATTACATGCAAATTTGCCAGAATTTTGTATAATAATGTAGTCATTTTCCAATCAATATCACTGGATTAGCAAAATTTTTATGCCGTTAATTTAATACGTGCTAACTGATGATTGATTCTGGTGACGTAAGATTTTATAACAGTGTTATGAAAGACTTGTGAGATTAAATTTGACATATAATGTCTATCGAGTAGAAAGATTTTATTCTGGCATAAAATTAAAAAGAGTAGTTTTTAATTATTAGATTTTATATAATTGTTCAAAATTTAAACACAATGTGCCCTTTTAAGTATTTGAATAAATTTAAAATAACCTTTTACTTAAAAAATTTATAATATTTTCATGATCAATATTTGTTTCTCAGTTTCTTATATAAATGATATTCTCAACACATATATACATGTAGAAAGTATATCCCTGATAAAAAAAATTATATAAAAAGCATATCAAGTGAAAATATGAAAAATGAGAAGAATTAATCTCGATTGAACAATCATTATATATGATTAAAAAAATTTAATTTTATATAACCTTGTATATGAATAATATTTACTCTTTTGGCATTCTCATTTTTCACCTAATACTCGTTATATATATATAAAATTGATGTTCTTTGTTCGTACATTTTTCCTTAAAAGTTTTATGATGGTCAAGTGCTTTCATTTGGATATTGATACTTTTGTTGCTTTCTCGTTATTTTCAAGGTTCATGAATTGAAATGAATAATGATGGCAAAGGTGTGAAATTACAATTGGTTACTGCGGATACATTGTCTTGAAAAGGTCTCACCCAACTCTGCCTAATGCACAAAAAGTATAAAGTCAAACGTTAATTTAATCATGTACTGAGATTTCCCCCTAGGATCTGTTTCTCTTTGTGTTTATTATTATTATTATTATTATTAATTTCTCATATCTGATAGCCACCATTAATTTAAACCTAACTCTACACTTTTTGGCTGGGTCGCTATAGTTTTACCTCCCTCAAGAAAATGTTGAAGTTTTTATATTAAAAGTTTCTTAAATATTTGAGAGTGTGGGAGCCATTATCAAATAATGTATGTTTATTAATTCATACCCAACTTTTCCACAATCTACAAAAGATTATGATACGTTGATCAAGTTTTCGTGCCTGATATCTAGAGACGTTGTTGTCATGTCACGTAACGAAATCATCATATAGTTTATTGAGTGGATTATTAAATACATTGTCTCCAAAAAAGAATTTGCCCTCCACTTATGCCTAAAGAGAAATTATTTGTCCTAAACATATTCTTTTTTAACTCATCCATCCACAAGAAGGTGTCCACGTGTAGTAAACAGGCATTTGTGTACACAAATTTGGTAGACTACTGTCGTAGCATTTGTTAATATTTGTTATGAGCTGTTCAATAGCTCCAACAAACTTTGCAACTTATTTTATTTGTTTTAAGGCATTATTTCCAGATACGAGATCCGAAGATTGCGTGAGTAAAGAGTTAGTAATACTATTTTAAGGTATCAGGCACAATTTTTAAATTACCGTCGTCGTCGTCGTCGTCTTCTGCTGGCTACTTCTATTGGTAAGAACCATATTCCAGTCTAAATAATTGATCACGATGGCATATAATTGGCGAAAGATAAGCAGAGTTGAGACAATACTATTTAATTTATAAAGAACACCTGGCCCTTATGGAGCCAGAACTTTCCTGAACAAATTAGGGTTTAATTATAAAAGCTTTATAATCCTATAAACGTGACAAAATAGGTAACAAGGAGTCAATAGTCATTAAAAGACCAAAATGATTTATGGATATGCACATATAGGCATTAAGTTAAATTAACCTACAATTTGATTCAACGTCACCGCTATTATTCGTATAGGAAGTTGTACGACAATTTTAAGTGTAGTAAATTCCTTCAAATTAAAAATCAAGGTTTTGGAATGGAAGATAATAAATAATTGGAAGAATTCCCTCAAAAATTCAATTTATTTAGAGGTATCCCAGCCCAAGAACCTTAGTGTGTTTTATGCAAATGTAGCAATTAACAGAATTGGTTTTTCCTGTAATATTTGGCAAAGGGGCTACTATTAGTTAGGAACGTGTACCCCTTTGTCATGCTAAGGTAAATCACATTTCTAGTCATAAGAGCCAATATGAAGCAAAAAAAAGTCTGTCTGCCATCCTATGCAAGTATGCTTAAATACAGAAGAAAAAGGGTCGATGATCAGAAGAACAGAAAATTAAATTTATATTTATTCACTTAAAATATATTACTAAATGGAACCCATGATTACTAGAATCTAGAATAAATAATGTGCAAAAAAATAAACAACGGCAGGTCGAAGTGAACAGAGCAAATCTTCTAGTGTATGAATCATTTGCATAGGCCTTTTTAAACCAGCTCCCACATAGTGTTACAATAATTAATAATGGATAGTAATTATATATCTCATAAACGAAAATATAATAAGATTATCTGGGACAAAGGTTAAAAAAAATCAAAAGATATAAATCTTTTTCACAAAATAATGAGGATGAACAATTCCCCAATCATCAAACTATTGAAGTCTGATGAATAATCTGCAAAATCTGATTATGTAAATTGCCGTTGGTAACAAGGAAACCGCCAGACGGAAATAAAAACCGCCGGCCAACATGATCCACGGCAAGATCTATTTCACTGCCTTTCCAGTCAGTTACCTGATCAAATTGGATATCAAATGAAACAATTAAAAGAAAAAAGATCAAATTCACTATACAGTAATGTCTGGAACCATAAACAAGTTTACACAAATTTATAAATCTGTGCTAAAACAACTTATAAGGCATTTCATAAATCCAAGACTGGACAAGCTAACAAGACAGAAGTAAAAGGATTCAACCGCTGTGCACAATCCCCCATCCCACATTACCTCTACCAGAATTCCTTCGGGCACTAAGAAATCACAATACCATACATATATTCACGAGAATTCCATAGCAAATAAATGCTTGTTTAATTAGATGAAAAAGGAAATTTAAACTACCTGCCATCAGTTGTAGAGGGCACTACAATTATTTACAGTAGTAATAGCTTCGGCGGAATTACTTAGAAGAAATTATTCATATCTTTAACTACACATCTAAAAGAAAAAGAAATGCGCAAAAGATTTTGGTGGTAACTCGTTATCTTATATCCAACATGAATTGATGAAAAGTTAATAGGCCATAGAGAAAGAAAATAAAGAACTAGGAAGCGCTGTCTTCAGTAATCGAACGAGTTGGAATTAATACAAATCCATACTCACCAAAGCTAACCTTGTTTCCTAAATAGACATGTATTATCTGGTCAAACATAGAAGCATGTGACAGCATTTTGTTAACTATTGGTACATTAGTGTATGTTAGTAGCATAGTAATGCTCTGTATTAGGCAAAGGATGCAAATTAGTACCAATTTACCACTACTCAGAAGTATATTCTCATATTTGGTATACCAACATGTTAACAATGAAAACAAGCACACCATATCAAGCGAAACACCACTTTATTAATAGGGAGGGAAATAAACAATGACATTATGTAAATTTTGCCAAAATCCAATATTTCAAATCACACTAACCCGAAATACATTGTATTTTCCTGATTTTTTCTCTACCAAACATCCGCTTGAAATTCTAGTGTAACTATTGAAGTCCTATTTTTCTTTCTTGCTCAAGTAATATTTGGATCAATTTTCTGAAGTTAGAAATGGTGCTCTAATTTATATATACACTGGACTCATAATTCTAATTCTAATTTAATAATGAAACAAATCATGAAATATAAGAAAATATGGAAACCATTCTTAAGAGATCATCTAGGATAACATATCCTATAAGATACAATTGTGATACAGAAATATTTTTCATATATTTTACCAGAGACAAAAACAATATGATTTTTTTTTTTTACCTTCCCACCAGCTTCATGAATGCATATCAAGCCAACAGCATGGTCCCAGGCCTACGTTAGACCAAATAATTCAAAAGAAAAGTATTACTACATAAATTATCCATCCCATTATAAACTTAAAAATTGTAAGGATACCTTTATAATGGTCTTCTGTTTTGCTTGTTGAATGAAAATAGATGCTCTACCTGAGGCCACCATCAAATACTTGCATAAACTGCATTGATCCATAAGAATGTCAAGAAATGAGCAAATGGAGGAGAGAGAAGATGAAAATCAATGAAGCTAAAAAATATTGGCAATTTTAACACAATGAGATGAAACTACCAATGAATTGCATTAATTAGAGCAACAACTTCATGATTTAAGCATCAGATATAAGATATTTATTAACAAGACTTCCTTTCAAAGAGCGCACTGTAATTTAATATAAAACAAACTTCAGGCAGTGTAAGCAATAAAAGTAGAATCAGAAAACAAAAAATAACGATTGCTTTAGACTTTACCATCTACTCCACACATCACTTCGTAGACCACCAATTATGGAATAAGTTCTGATTGGGTGTAATAAAGTAAAAAAAATATATACATAGATAGCATTTCTGAGACCTTCCACAACATGTCCTCAATAGATGAATTTGATTGCTCCCTACATTATCAGCCTTGTTTGTTGCACTAAATAAAGACGACAATGGCAGTGATTCCCATGTTTGACTATCTGGAATACAAAAGCGTGCTTTATGTATTATGTCAGATCCATCAACAAAACATCTGGTCCACACACCAGGTGATTTGAGTTGGCTATTCAAACTTTTCATCCATGTTCCACATCCCTTATGAGCAATCATTACAGCTCCTGATCCACGAAGAGAATCCCAACCCTCCTCAATCTCGGCAGATGATATCTCAGATAAATCTTCCTCCCAGTTAGGGCAGCCCATAACTCCAATTACAACCTCTCCTTCAACCACAAGAGCCAAACCAACCTATATTTTCCGGAAATCCCTTAGACAACAATTGAGATAATAATGACAATGTCGGATAAACATATGATGCACTGTGAAGAAAATTACATTCTTTGCCAGTATTCCTTAATTAAAGATACACACACAGCTTGTTTATACCCGTACCTTGAGAGGAAAGTGCATCATAAATCAGGCACTATCACAAATAATGGTTTAGTCTTATAACAAAGAGCTCTTCCAGATGGAACCATTATGAATTTTTTTGTTATATACTATTATATGAAAAGAATTTCAAAAGGTATCTATATAATATCTGATTGGAGAAACTTCTCCATAACATTTATAAGAGAAGAAAATAAAAATAAAAATGAAATAAACTTCTCCAAAAGTTAAAATTAGCTTATAGAAGTTCTCTCAAGTTAGCTTTTGGAAAAAAATTGACTCAACTATAAGTTAATTTCAGCTTAAAGACAAGCTTATTTCATTTTTTTTTCTTCATTTTATGTCCTTCTCCTAGAAATGTTAATGAAAAAGTTTATCCAAGCACCCCCATAAAAAAAGCACCAATCTACATTATGACTTACCACATATAAGGCTCTGCTAGCTTTTAGAAAACCACGTGTACCATCAATTGGGTCAAGCACCTGTATTTATTCAATGGACTTAACATAAGTTATAATGGGAAAAATCAAACATGAAAAGTAAATTTATAAGTGTCCAATATTAACCTGTAAATAGATAAGGCCCCAATGATTAGTAGAAGTCAACATGTAAAAATATGTAGTTTTCATAAAACAGAAAATATAATTACTACCATTTTCTCATCTTGAGGAATGCCATTTGAACAAACATCTCATACAACAACATAGAAATTGAAGCCAGAAAGCAGAAATGAATTTTTAAAATTTTAATAAGTCACACTGCATCACTTTATAGCATTTAATTGATCTGCTTAGATATGCCCACCCAATATGTGGCCGGCTTTGGTCCAAATACAAAAGCATCCTTGCCCCCTCTATCAATTGCATCAAGCACATCATCTTGTGTCAATGGTTTACAAGTGGAGCTAGCAGTAGCAGTTACTGCATTAAGCACAGTGTCTGCTAAGTTGCTTGATCTCACAAAAGCGGAGTCCTCCTCAGCCACCAAAGGTATAGAAGGGAACAGCTTATTTAACTCTGTTTTGATAACCACATAAGATATAAAACCGAAATTTTCAATCCCATGAAAAGAATAATAAGTTCTGATAAATCATTTTCAAGGCTACATACTATACTAATCATAACACTGGTTAATTACATTAAAAGAAGGAAACTAATGTTTAGACTTTCAACGAATCACATTGGCCAGAAATTATGAGTACTGATGAGATTCCATTGGCATTTTCCAAGTTTCATGGAATCCTTCTTTAAAATAAATAATCACCATATTGCTGTTATGTCCTCAGATAAAAGAGCAACTTATGTAGAACTGTAATTGACCAAAGAGCAGCACATTGATTTTCATTGACAACTCATTAACATGTTAAAGTATTCTTATTAAAGTATTTGACATGACAGTGAGTTAATAATACCCAAACTTATGAGAGCCTGAACTCCAAAATCAGCGACGGTGACGGGAGTGTGGTCATTTTTTTCAAGAACCTTGCCATGAGTTGAGAGCAAAGACGATTTGACCTGCGGAGTGGGGACAAAAATTAAGAAGAAGCAGAAGGCAATACAAAAAATGAAGAAGAGGAGACACAGGCAGAGAACGTAATTACATTGAGACAGAGATTGCAAGCCCTGTGAACTACGTCAACGGCGGCTTGAAGCTCTTTGTAATGTTTAGCGTTTTGGTGCGGAAATGGAAGTGTGGCCCTGACGGAATGCGAGTGGAAATGAGGGGAAATTGAGGGTTTGAGGGGAAATGAGAGCTAGGTTTAAAGAAGAATGGATGGAAGAGACCTTACGTTGAAGCGCCAGGTGGTACGAGTGCGGGAACTTTCAAAATATCGGAGGCCCAAGACGTGTGAACCAAGGATATCCATCGCCATCGCCATCACCACTCTTCTGTGTTCAGCGTTGAGTTCAGGAGAGGTAGATAACAATGAATATTGAATGGTAATGAAAATAGATACATTTTATTTTTATTTTTATTTTTATACATATCAGAGGGTATAGTCTACAGACTACAATCACATTTTTCACTTTCATATCTTAGCTATATTAATCTTTTTTATTTTAATCACAATTGCAGTAATTTTAATTTTAACATAGTTTGATTTTGAATAATCACTCTT